AGATTGGTTTCTAGTGTCCAGCTTATAAATGTAGAGAAGAATTTTCCACAAAGATTATAAGAACAAAGCTGATACCTTTCGACATGTAAGCCCTGATCATAGAATCATAAAATCAGCTAGGTTGGAAAAGACCTTTAAGATCATCAAGTCCAACCATTACCCCAAGGACCATCACTAAGCCCTGTCATTGAGGCCCTCATCTACACGGTTTTTAAACACTTCCAGGGACAGTGATTCCACCACTTTCCTGGGAAGCCTGTTCCAATACCTGATCACCTTGTCTGTGAAGAAATCTTTCTTAATATCTGATCTAAACCTCCCCTGGTGCAGCTTGAGGTCATTTCTTCTTGTCCTATCACTTGTTACCTGGGAGAAGAGACAACCCCCACCTCACTACATCCTCCTTTTTCAGGTAGTTGTAGAGAGCGATAAGGTGCCCTCTGAGCCTCCTTTTCTGCAGGCTAAACAACTCCATTTCCCTCATCACACTTGTGCTCCAGACCCTTCACCAGCTGCATTGCCCTTCCCTGGACCTGCTCCAGCAACTCAATGCCTTTCTTGTAGTTAGGGGCCCAGAACTAAACACAGCATTTGAGGTGCAGCCTCACCAGTGCCAAGCACAGGGGGATGATCTCTGCCCTGGTCCTGCTGCCACGCTATTGCTGATACAAGCCAGGATGCCGCTGGCGTTCTCGGCTGCCTGGGCACACTGCAGGCTCATGTTTAGCAGCCACCAGTCAGCACCCCCAGGTTCTTTTCTGCCTAGCTGCTTTCCAGCCACTCTTCCCCAAGCCTGCAGCATTATATGGGGTTGTTGTGGCCCAAATGCAGGATCTGTCACTTTGCCTTGTTGAACCTCATACCATTGGCCACAGCCCACCAATCCAGCCTGTCCAGATCCCCCTGCAGAGCCTTCCTGTCCTTCAGCAGACCAACACTTCCTGCCAATTTGGTATAATCTGCAAACTTACTAAGGGTGCACTCAATCCCCTATTCCAGATCATCAATTAAGATATTAAACAACACTGGCTCTAACATTGAGCCCTGAGGGACACCACTAGTACCAGCTGTCAACTAGATCTGATGCCATTTACCACTACTCTTCGGGCTTGGCCATCCAGATAGTTTTGCAGTTTTGCCCTCGCCAGTGTGAAGTACAGAGGGACAACCACTTCCCTATCCCTATCCCTGCTGGCCAGACTATTTCTGATACAAGCTGGAATACTATTGGCCTTCCTGGCCCCTTGGGCACAAGCTGGCTCATGTTCAGCTGGCCGTCAATCAGCACCCCCAGGTCCTTTTCTGCAAATCAGCTTTCCAGCCACTCTTCCACAAGCCTGTAGTGTTGCATGGGGTTGTTGAGGCACAAGTTCAGGACCCAGCACTTTGCTTGTTGAACATCATACAATTGGCCCTGGCCCACCAATCCAGCCTGTCCAGATCCCCCTGCAGAGCCTTCCTGTCCTTCAGCAGACCAACACTTCCTGCCAATTTGGTATAATCTGCAAACTTACTAAGGGTGCACTCAATCTCCTATTCCAGATCATCAATTAAGATATTAAACAACACTGGCTCTAACATTGAGCCCTGAGGGACACCACTAGACCAGCTGTCAACTAGATGTGATGCCATTTACCACTACTCTTCGGGCTTGGCCATCCAGCCAGTTTCCAAACCAGCAAAGAATCCACCTATCCAGGCCATGAGCAGCCAGGTTCTCCAGGAGAACACTGTAGTCTCAAATGCTTTATTTCAGTCCAAATAGATGATGTCCGCAGCCTTTCCCTCATCAACCAGGTGGGACACCTTATTGTAGGAGATACGGTTGTTCAAGCAGGACCTGCCCTTCATGAACCCATGCTGACTGGGCCTGATCCCTCTGTTTTCCTGCACACTGATGTTTTCTATGGAGCTGTTAAAAGTTAAATTACTATTTCAGCTTTAGATTCAGGTTCCCAAGAAAAGAATAATGTTAACAAACTTGTTCCTCTCCCCCCTCTTCCCCCAAAGGAACAAAAAAGCAATGAATTCCAGTTATATCTACCCCAGTAACCTTGCATAAATATTCTACAGCATGCAGAGCTGCCCTATGATAAATGCTCTGTACTGCTATGTCACAGAAGCCCTACAGGAGGAAGCAGGAAGTCTCTGGTACCCAGGGTGAAATACAGTGGAGACCTGCTGCATCCCTAGTACAAATGCTACACCAGTGAGGTAGGTAGGTAGGTGCTCCTATAGGAATTATGCAGTGTACTGGCCTGAATGTAGGCAAAGTTTCAGTACAGAGAAAGCAATAAACATGCACATAGAAAGTACAGAGGAAGGCATCTGAAAAGGTATGAAACCCACACACAGTTAAAATCTTAAGCTTTTCATTGCGTTTCAAATATTATTAGATATTAAACTGGATGCGCTCACATAATTCACACTAGAACTGTGCTGCTGAATAATGAGACATTGCTAGCTACAAGGTGACTGACTCATACTAGATGTTTTGAGTAAGAAGACAACTGCTGTGCTTGATAGGCCAAACTACCATATGTTTCTAGAATAGCAGAGACCTACTTTATTCTGTGATTTGCTGTCAAGGTCTAGTAATACTGGCAAAAGTGGTTTGCTGATACAATAACCACAAGTTCTGTTTCTCTAAAAGTCATATGAGCTTTTAAAGAGACCATACATGACTAATCAACAGCCCTTTTCACAGTCTGCAGGTAAATCAAAATGTAACAGGAAACGCAAAGTGGCATCTGCAGCAAGTTTCCTGCCTCCCCCTGCAAAACTGCAGAAGCCCTTACCCCACTACTGCAGGCAGGGCAAGGGCATGGGTCTGGACAGGCTTGGCATTATCTGCTCTGCTATTTCCCAGCTGAACTCAGACCTTACTCATTTAGGCTGCTTTGAGAGAAGACAGACCTGATCCCTCATTTGCAGCTACACTGGGGCTCTGATAATGAGACATGTTTCCCCAGTGAGGGCTTGGTTCACTGTGGGTTTTAAGGTTAGGTCCCATGCATGCGCAAAATACTGACCTTGAGGAAAGCACTCAGAATAAAATGAGTTCTTTGCTTATTTTGCCTTTCATGTGAAAAGTTCAAGAGAGATTATTTTAGGACTGCATATCAGATCTCTTTGACAGTTGCCCTGATTTATTAACCTGTAACTGGGGTAAGGGAACTGGATACTCATATCTGATGTCAACAAGAGACAAGGATATAATTTCCTTAGGCTCTTCTGAAACCCCAGCATACATTTCTCAACTAATTGAAAGCAGATTGTCTTTAACTGCAATTCAGAGAGGTTTCTTCTTGCTCTGTACAGATACTATTCTGAGCTTCATCTTCGCACTACATATAAAAATATACTGTTATATGACAACAGGATGAAAAAACAAATGTCCAGATGAATACAGAAATGAGAGATATAAAATTAACAGTGAAGAATCACACCTGAAACACTGGCCCACAAAAGAACTGGCATCAAAGTTTTACACAGGTATGTTACAAGAATGAAGATTTACTTCACTGTGAGAAGACCAAACCTATGAGGTATTGTAGCATCTGTGATGGAGATCATAAACACAATCATTAAATACAGTAAGATAATAATCTATGAGGTAGATGTGCTTCTTTTCTCCACATTTATTACTTATCATCATTAGTACCCACAAACCAATTAGAAGTGGCTTCAAAGCTGAAGTATTTATCAGCCAAATAGTTCTGTGAAGAGCTATTTTGTCATGACATACAATTTAGCTCATGAGGCACAGCAATGTATAAACATTAGATTTCTAAACTGTCCAAGAGCCTAAACAATGTGTTGTTAAAATACAACATCATCTTGGCCAAGACTCTCTGGTTTGCTAACATCCTCTTTTCTACCAGTTTTCTAGATTCCTTTATAAACATTCATAAAGTTACCTTCTAAATAAGTGAATAGACATAGGAACAGAAACAAATTATTTATTCTTTACTCTTTCTTTACTAAAATGGTTGACTTGGCTTTATTCAGGCTTTCAGTCTCCTAGCTAAAAACAAAATTTAAAAACTTCAATACAACCAACACATACCTTCTCCTTTATAAGATCATTAGAACCTATGTTCAAAATTATTCATGTGTTTCTGAGATTCTGGTCATATTTAGAAAGCAAGCTTTCTTTACTGCAACTAATAACTACCTAGGACTGCTGCTTTTTCCTTTCTGCTGTGCATTTCAGTTACTGAGGTTCCACTCCCTAAGTATGACCAACAGCAGCCTCACAGAATCACTGGTATGTAGTCAAAATGCACATGATAGCTGTTAACTATGATAACTGTTGCAGAAAGAAGAAAAACTACAGATACCCACAGAAGGCCAGAAGGCAAATAAACTGCATTACTGATGCAGTAATACTTATTCAAAATGGTTTTAGACTACAGAGAGTCCTCAGCATTGGTGGTTGGCAGAAGCCTTAGTGTATATCCTTCAACTCTCATGTTTATGAGGACTCAAAATACAGAATTCTGTCTAATATGTACAGCCTTCAAAAACATTATGCTATTGACTTTCAGTATCCATAAATCTCTCCCTCTGGTGGCTATTTCAGGATAATACCCAATACCTATTTGGAAGTCTTCCCAAATTTTGCTTTTCCTTATTTAAATGGCAGATGAGAGGGTCTAAGTCACGCTCACAACATTATCGTGGCATTTCTACAGCAGTTTGTTTTCCAATGAGTTTGCTCACTTTTTTTTTTTTTTTTTTTTTTTTTTTTTAAGAGAAGTAAACTAGCAGGACTGTTGAGGAGAGCTATTCCAGTGAAAAGAAGTAAAATTTCTAGAATATACTTTTGCTCACACAGAGGAGTCATCAAAACTGTGGCAGCGCAGTTTTTGATGCTGGCATTTCTGCCATCAAACTATCATAAAAAGCAAACTATCCACCTTGCTGGCCTCGAAACATTACTTTTCCTCCTCATTATACCCTCAAAGGGTATAGGATTACTCTTTTAATTACATTACCTGTCCCAGCGATCTCCAGTCTAGGCTGGCACTTCCAATATACACGTGCTGTTTATCAACAATCCAGAAAGATGACTGAAGCCGACCTTCATTATATGCTGACATGTTCATATACAACACTTCAGCACCTAGAGATTAAAAGATAAAATAATACATAGCATAATTCAAAACAGCACAGCATACATTATTAAAAAAATCCCAAAATCTTCACATTTCAGGGCCTCAGCTTCCAAAACTACTGAGGGAGGTAATTAAACATACCATTAAGATTTGAAACTAATGATAAATAGTGTTACTGTCCCACTGTTTAAGACATCAACATATATTCAAGGAAAGCAGGTATAGGGAACATTGCCATGCATTATACTGCTTACTTAAGTTTCTTCTACTTTAGAACCAAATAATTGCTGTTTTTTTCTAGCACTGCATGTTCCTAAAAATAGTTTATTTTTAAAGGTCCATTCTGTAACTCAAACCTGCTACATGTTATGATAATGATCTTTAAAATACAAGCCAAAGTACAACACCTCCCTAAAAAGCAGACTCTGCTCCTTTGCCCGGTGCAATGATTGGAGCAGGTAGCCTATGGTGGGCTGTTGCATGGAACGGACTCTGACAAGAGGAACATGGGTGGACAATTAAGGAGTGAGGAAGTAAGCAAAGGCCTAAAGTATGCTGAAACTGCTCTTAATCCTGCTAATCTGTGACATTCAACCTACCACACTGAACTGCACAGTCTTAATAAGGATTGTAGGCCACTGGTATCAAAGGAGCCACCTGTCAGGTAAAAGCACATTGGCTTCATTACATCAGTCGGAGTGTCTGAATTGGCCCCATCAGTATTTTTGCAGGACTAAATCCAGAATATACTTAATACTAGGTAAATGTAGGGGATTTCTCACATCATTATTGCTCTTTCAGTGCTCCAATGTTTGTAAGATTAGGTGATTAATCTGAATTAATCATTGCTAAAAGTAATTTAAAGTAACCCACTCATCTTCACATTTTAGTCATGACAGTATCTAGGGAAGAGAAGTGACTGTAAACAGCAGCCTGGAGGGCAGTAAGGATACCAGCCATCTCCCATTAAACATTCATGGGATCTTGTATCCATGGGATCAGTACCATGAATTCCAGTAACGGCTGGATATGAGTCACAACTTCAAAAGAATTCCAGGTTTGCCTAGAGAACTAAAATGTTTCTTTTCATCTAACTTTCTGACCTTCTAAGAAACACTTGACTCACAACTTTAAGCAACAGTTACCAGTACTAAATGTTTCTTTTTTATCACGAAAACTGTAATTCTCACTTGAAGAAATGATTCTAGAAGTTCAGACATCAAGAAAAGAAGAAAAACCAGTAAGGGACCCTTTTCATGAAGCACCAGACATACAACATAGAATTTTGAGAAAGTTACAGAATTTGGTTCAAGTGTTGTGTATTTGCTGCAACCCAGCTACCTTTCCATTTTTTCCTAGGTAATCACCCATGAGTCTATGTATCCACATTCATCTGTGCTTAAAAACACAGCTATTTCCCAATTTTCCTTGGAACATGTTGCTGCTGACTTTCATTCCATGCATGAATGAGCAGAACTGCTAATTAAGGAGATAATGTGTGTCAAATGGAAAAGAAATCAGAAAATGCTATAGCAGGTGTTAAATGGTAACATTCTTTTCTGATGAATAAACAAAACAAAAGCAACTCCTATTAGTTAAGAGAAACAATTCTGTAAGGCACTAAAAGTTCTAGATGCTTGTCTGAAAACTGTGTTTAAAATCAAGTTTAACATAGCAGTTTGTCTTGATCATATTTTCTTTCCATGCATCTTATTTGCAACATTAAATAGCAGTATGAATTTGACACCCACAACACACCTACATCAAATAGGTTAAAAATGAAATGTTAGGATTTTTGCTGAGGAAACGTAAAACAGTCAGAAACAACGAGCTTCCTTCTCATATCTGAGAGCCTAGAATAAACACAGCTTAAAAACATTTTTAACATATCCACTGCTGAACAAAAACGCTGATTGCCAAAGTTACAAGAGGAATCTATTTACCCAGTAATCAGCAGACACCATCAGTAACCTGACACAAAATTCAGAAGTTGTAAAACACCAGGATTTGTGGGCGTGCGTAGTTTAAGCAGTGGGATGGGACTATCACTCTGAAATATAACCAAATCGATCACCAAAATAGTGAACATAGCAGTGCAGCAGAGAGATAGTGCTATCACACACATCACTAAAATCAAATCCTGGGACCCAATTTCTTTTCCTTCTGGAAACAGCCGACTCATAAGGCTAAGGAAACAGTATCTCTAACTTAATTAAAAAAAAGTCATGTGTTGCAAACAGCAGCTGCTGTGCTGCCTATTAATGAGCCCTTAATTTTTGATGAAAGGGAACACGTATCAGTATTGATAATTGACTCTGTTTGAGAACCCCTTGAGATGTTTTGCTCAAGCAGGCTTAACAGGCCTTCAACATAACGCATCATCCCTAGCGTGGTCCAGGAACCATGAGGAAATTAAATTGGACTGATCAATATGTGAAAGCATAACAGAACTCTTTATCATGCTGCAGTCTCAATTACAGAAAGCTGTGGGTCTGCTGAGTTCAACCAGAAGGCACAGTTTGTAGGCTTGATCGCCAATATAGATGCCAGATTCTCAAAAAATAAATCTAAGAATTTTATTTCACTGAAGATTAAACTGCAGGGTGAGATCTTAGAGAAAACCAGTGCTGTCACTTGAAACACTCAAGTGGATTTTCTGTTCCATAAAATTGTGCATTCAAAAGGTTGGGCCAGATTGCCCTCTTTCTGCAGGAAAAAGAAGACCACCGAAGGGATCAAAGCATGCTTTGAGTAACATACATTTCTTGAGTTCTTTTTCTTCTAGGTGGGGAAGTTTTATACCCTATAAGGGAGATGATTGGTGTAGTCTAGGATGCACAGAGGGGATCCTGCCATTGAGAGCCTGGACCTTCTCCATGCGATGGGAACACAGACACTGGCAGGTGCTGGGCTGCTATTTAGCCTGCCTCTTGCTTTGCGTCATAATGGCAGAAGAAAACTGAAGACAGTAATAGTATTGCAAAAAGACTGACTTTTCATCCATTTCCAAAATAAATCCAATTCCCAAAGTAATTGGGAAGTGCTCCATCCAAAGATGGCATAAACAAGTGCCACTTAAATTTCCAGGCTTGCAGCATCCTGTTTGGTCTAGCTGGCTGCTCTCAGGTACTCCACTAACTATGTCATGAAGGCTACACGGCAAGCCTGACATCGAGAACAGGAGCTTAAGGCTGGGACCTTTCCTACAAAAGCAAAACCACTAAGCTGTTAGCACCAGGCTTTAATCAAGAGCTCATCACATACATGCTCTGCCATCACATACACGCCTCATGCATACTGCATGAAGCGCATCTTGGTGTACCTGTGCCATGGCATATGCTAGCTGCAGGTCACCAGGCAGCTACACAAATTGGGAGACTCTTCTTCCTGTGAAACTGCAGGAGGCTGGGGCTCACAGGGCTGCCACTCAGTCTGCACATCCAGGTTTATGCAATAGTCTGCAGAAGGAGCAGCAGGAGGCTTTGGATCCAGTACCTGTGAGCAATCCAGGATATTACCGGCTTTTGCTGGTGCAAAGGCAACACCACTGAGCCAAATTACCTCTCTGGTGGATACAGTAAATCATTTTTGTAAAGAAGACCTAGAAAGAGCAACTGGTTAGGCTGCTATTATCACAGCTGCCTTGAAAGGAAACATGCAAATTCTGTCTGCGACAGCTTTCAAAAGCACCAGTTACAGCCTAAACTCACTCTGGAGTTAGCAAACATAACGCCCAAGAAACAGAAGCTGCATTTGCTTGTACCACGGCTAAAATTGGCCTTCTGTCTTCACAACTTTCTTACTTTCACTATAGTGTTTTTAAAACCAGGGAGAAATTAAAATGGGAAAGAGGAAGGATTTGAAGATTTTGAGAAGAGGGCCAGACAGAGGTATCTGGGAAGTTGCAGCAAGAGTAATGCTATTCAATGCTGTGATTCACAACAGACAGAGCAAGGATGAGGAAAGCACCAAAAGCCCTGACCTCATTAGCCTTGACAGTAGGAAATAGGGCTGGAGCAGAAAAGAATGTTGAAAGAAATGGAGTTACAGGATCTGACAGCATGTTTTGGGACTGTGCGTTGTGCAGAGCCCTGGGAAAAAGGGTCATGGAGCCAGGCTGGGCTCTGCTACCCCCTGCTAGGTACTGGAGAGTTGTAAAGGTGGAGGAGATGAACAGGGGTTTTTGAAAGCCTCTCCTTCCCCATTTTGGGAAAATGGAGCTTGTCAAGTTCAGGCTGCAGAGGTACAGCAGGCAATGGAAGGGGGAGCACATTGAGGCAGGGGGAGCTACACAGGGCTGTTGGTAGGATGGGGGAGTGGGGAAGTTGTAGGGGGATCACAAAGAAGAAGGGACAGCCAGATACAAGGAAGCACTAGTATATGAAATGTGTTTGGCCAATGAAAGCAGCACTGCTTACAGCTCTCTTGTGTATTTGCAGTTTGAACCTGACAAATGCTTCTGCACCACATCCTGCACATATTCCTGCCACCATTCCCCACATCACCATGAAGGTGGCCACAGCAGGAACAGCTGCCCTCCTCTGCTTACCCCGTTCTTGCTGTCCTTTCTCCCTCTTCATCACTATGTCCATATGCTTTCTTCACAGCACTGTTTTTTTCCCTTCTCTTCATTCTGTGTATTCCTAAGAAAATACTCCAAGTAATGAGACCTTTAAAAAGGAGTCTGAGAATGTTAGCTGTGGCCTCTTTGTTCCACCCTACTGCTGACAGTCACTTGGCACACAAAGACACAGATTTTGATCTGTACCCTTTGGAGAGTGGCCTCAAGCTGGAGTTGAGAGCAGAGTTAACCAATCCATACCATGAACCCTAGAGCTCACAAGCACGTGTACCCTTGAGCACAGCTGGTGGTTGAGCAGCCTGCACAGCACCTTGCACAACCTCTCTGGGGACCTACCGCGTGGCTGCAGGGCAGCACACACGGTGATTGCCACTGTGCCATAGACCTGCTGCATTCTTTCAGCTAAACTGAGTTTTCAGATCAATA